AACGTAGGCGGCAAGAGACCTTCCTTTCATTGCTGATGCATACATACAATATAGCCATACTTTCTCTCTCTCATAGTCACTTCTTCCAATTACCAAATACCTTCAGACATTCTGCCAGTTCATTCCCAACTTCCCATTCTTTCACCCACTCCCAACATGTCCCTATAATAACGCATACTCTCCGTTGATTGCATGCATTACCCTGACCCTATATTTTTGCACCATTGCAGAAGGGATGAAGATGCGGGGAGGAAAACCCGAAGCCAACGGGATCCTCAAGGGCAGCAGAGTGGTAAGAGCCTAAAACATTGCCATCCTATTGATGACGACAACAACACCCAACAGCAATGAAAAGTGTCTTGGTTTTTTAGGCCTGTTCCTGGGGTTATTAGGGGCACTGATTCAGAAAATTACATTGGTGAGACCGCATCAGCTCTGGTTTCTTAGATAGGGTTAGCATGGTCTTCCATGGACAAGGAGAAGCATATGTCCTATGTCTCAAAAACTAGAGCTGATAGGTCGAAACAGGTGCCATTTTTGGAAGCAGCAGGTCAAATAGACCCAGAAACAGGGCTAACATTTGAGGCTCCAAAAAAGAACTAGAAAAAGAGGAGGAGGAGGGGTAGTGGTGGTGGAGGAGGTGGAGGTGGTGGAATAGAAGGTGGAGGAGGTGTGGAAGAGGAGGAGGAGGAGGAGGAAGTAGAGGAGGAAGACCAGGTAGATGAGGAGGAGGTGGTGGTGGAGGAGGTGGAAGAGGAGGAGGAGGAGGTGGTGGATAAGGAGGTGGTGGTGGTGGTGGTGGTGGTGGAGGAGGTAGAGGAGGAGGTAGAAAAGGTGGTGGTGGAGGAGGTGGTAGTGGAGGAGGTGGTGCTGGAGGATGTGGTGGAGGAGGAGGAGGTGCTGGAGGAGGAGGACGTGGTGGTGGAGGAGGAGGTGGTGGAGGAGGAGGGGGGGGTGGTGGAGGAGGAGTGGTGGAAGTGGAGCATTCATGTGAGGAGGAGGAGGTGGTGGAGGAGGAAGTGGTGGTGGTGGTGGAGGAGGTGGTGGACGAGGTGGTGGAGGAGGTGTTGGTGGTGGAGGAGGAGGCGGAGGAGGAGGAAAAGGAGGTAGATGGGGAGGTGGTGGAGGAGGAAGTGGTGGTGGAGGAGGTGGTGGACGAGGAGGAGGTTGTGGAGGAGGAAGTGGTGGTGGTGGAGGAGGTGGTGGTGGTGGAGGAGGAGGTGGAGGTGGTGGAGGAGGGTGGAGGAGGAGGAGGGGTGGAGGAGGTGGTGGTGGAGGAGGAGGAGGTGGTGGAGGAGGTGGTGGTGGTGGGTGGAGGAGGAGGAGGAGGTGGAGGAGGAGGTGGTGGAGGAGAAGGTGGTGGAGGAGGAGGAGGAGGTGGAGGAGGTGGTGGAGGAGGTGGTGGTGGTGGAGGTGGAGGCGGAGGAGGAGGTGGAGGATGATCTGGACAGAAAAACAAGAAAACTGATGACGATCTACTATTCGTGTCACCCATGTAGTTATGTCAACAGAGGTGATCTGCCCAGGAAATCAGAAAGCAGAGAGAGGGCTTCTGCAAGTGAAACAAGTGTTGAAGAATATTGAATAGGAGCAATTGGTGTTCCTCACTGTTGCATTTTCTTGAATCTTGCTCCTTTTCTCCTTCCGTAGGATGAAGACTTGAAATGGGTGGAAGAAAACATTCCCTCTTCTATGGCCGACGTGTAGGTTTCGGTTTTAATTCTTCAGTCCTTGTGTATTTGTTTGACTGGACAGATAAGTTTGGTTTCTTTTAAAGCAGCTGAACAAGGCATCGTTCAATTATTCCAGCAAGTAGTGAATTGCAACTGTAGAGGAATTAGATGAAGTCCTGACATATATATAGAATCCTAGAGTTGAAGGGGAACCCCAAGGGCCATCCAGTCCAACCCCTTGTGTGCTATGCAAAAAGACACCAATCCAAGCCCTCCCGACAGATGGCCGTCCAGTCTCTGCTTTCGCATTCAATTCTAAGCAAAGTTATTGAGGTTCTTAGATGTAGTTTTCCAAAATACAGTGACAGATAGATACCATGGTTCACTTTGGATTGTAACCCCAATCTTTCCCACTTCCTCTTCCAGAGTGTTGCCGCCTTTGCTAGACTCTGATGAGGTAAGCCAGCTTCAGTTTGTTTGTTTATTTATTTATAATAATTATGACGATGATGTGTATCCCATTCTATCTCTAAAAAAGAGACTCAAAGCATCTCACAATGAAACCAGTGCAATATCATTTAAAACCTAAAAATATATCAACATTACAATGGAATTAAACATGAATAGTATTGGGGAAAAAAATAGACAGTTAAAATACTTTAACCCAATTAATTTATTATTATTATTATTATTATTATTATTATTATTATTATTACTATTATTATTTATAACCCGCTTTTTCTTTCCACAAGGAGACTCAAAGTGGCTTAACTCAAAGCGGCTTATTATTATTATTTAAGAATTATAATAGTAATAACAGTAGTAATAATAATAATAATAATAATAATAATAATAATAATAACCCTGTAATCATGGATCCTATGTTGTAATGGCCTTTTCCAATGACAGTGAAGATAATGATGATGATAATAATAACCCTGTAACCATGGAGCCTGTCTTGTAATGGTCCTTCAATAATAATAATAATAATAATAATATACAATAATAATACACCTGTAACTGTGAAGACTATCTTGTGATGGTTTTGCAATAATAATAATAATAATAATAATAATATGCCTGTAACTGTGAAGCCTATCTTGTGATGGTTTTACAGTAATAATAATAATAATAATAATAATAATAATAATATTCAATAATAATAATATACCTGTAACTGTGGAGCCTATCTTGTAATAGTTTTGCAATAATAATAATAATAATAATAATAATAATATCCAGTAACAATAATATCCATTAATAATAATAATAAACCTGTAAGTGTGGAGCCTATCTTGCAATGGTCTTTCAATAATAATAATAATAATAATATCCAATAACAATAATATCCAATAATAATAATAATAATAATAATAATATTTATTTATTTATTTATTTGGTACACTTGTATACCGCTAATATCTCAGCCTGGAACGGCGACTCATTGCGGTTTACAGCAGTTAAAACAGTCTACAATTTAAAAACATATACACATACAATAACAAATTATTGGGCCACCAATAATAATCCCATATAGTTCGAGTTAAAATCACAATCCAGAGTTCGTTGTCCAAGTTTCCTGTCCTTAGTCATCAATATTCGAATTGCCACAGATTAGCCGAATGCTTGTTTGAACAGCCAAGTTTTGAGTCTCTTCCTAAACACCATCAGCGAAGAGGCTGATCGTACCTCTATAGGGAGGGTGTTCCAATATGCCTGTAAGTGTGCAGCCTATCTTGTAATGGTCTTTCAATAATAATAATAATAATAATAATAATAATAATAATAATAATATCCAATAACAATAATATCCATTAATAATAATATTATCCTATGCCTGTAAGTGTGGAGCCTGTCATAATGGTCTTTCAATAATAATAATAATAATAATAATAATAATGTCCAATAATAATAATACACCTGTAAGTGTGGAGCCTATCTTGCAATGGTCTTTCAATAATAATAATAATAATATCCAATAACAATAATATCCAATAATAATAATAATAATAATAATACACCTGTAAGTGTGGAGCCTATCTTGCATTGGTCTTTCAATAATACTAATACTAATAATATGTATTATTATTATTATTATTATTATTATTATTAATAATAATAATAATATGCCTATAAGTGTGCAGTCTATCATGTAATAGTCTTTCAATAATAATAATTTTGACAATAATATCCAATAACAACAATATCCATTAGTCATAATAATAATATGCCTGTAAGTTTGGAGCCTGTCTTATAATGGTCTTTCAATAATAATAATAATAATAATAATAATAATAATAATAATACACCTGTGAGTGTGGAGCCTATCTTGCAATGGTCTTTCAATAATACTAATAATAATATCCATTAATAATAATAATAATAATAATAATAATAATAATAATAATAATACACCTGTGAGTGTGGAGCCTATTTTGCAATGGTCTTTCAATAATACTAATACTAATAATATGTATTAATAATAATAATAATAACATGCCTATAAGTTTGCAGTCTATCTATCTTGTAATAGTCTTTCAATAATAATAATAATAATAATAATAATAATCTATAACAACAATATCCAATAATAATAATAATAATAATAATAAGCCTGTAACTATGGAGCCTATCTGGTAATGGTCTTTCAATAATAATAATAATAATAATATACAATAATAATATTAATACGCCTTTGACCATAGAGGCTATCTGGTAATGGTCTTCCAAAAAAAAACAACTTATTACTTGAGTTGTTGTAGGTTTTTTCAGGCTATATGGCCATGTTCTAGAGGCATTCTCTCCTGACGTTTCGCTGCATCTATGGCAAGCATCAGAGGATGCTTGCCATAGATGCAGGCAAAACGTCAGGAGAGAATGCCTCTAGAACATGGCCATATAGCCCGAAAAAACCTACAACAACCAGTTATTCTGGCCATGAAAGCCTTCGACTATCTCTGAGGATGCTTGCCATAGATGCAGGCGAAATGTCAGGAGAGAATGCCTCTAAAACATGGCCATATAGCCCGAAAAAACCTACAACAACCCAGTGATTCCGGTCATGAAAGCCTTCGACAATAAACTTACTACTTGCCTCTCCTTGCGGCTTGAGGCAAGTTCCAAAGGGTTAAAAACAGAGCTATACAAACACAACGCTTTTGAAATATATATAACCAAATACACACACACACAGACACGTTATTACATCTCATCCTTTCTTTTCCCCTTTCTCTCCTTTGCAGGAAATCGTGACCACCAAATTCGAAATGTCCAAGATGGAATGAAAAATCCCAGCCCCAGTCGCTCCGCCGCCGGCTCTTCCTGATGGGTTTTGTTTTTGTTTTGGTACAGATGAAGATGGCCGCCTCCTTTTTTTCCTTCTTCTTCTTCACACGCATATATATATGTATACATATATATATATTTGTATATGGTTAAAGGATTATTTTACTACCTTTTTTGCCTTTCTAACTCTGTAGCGTTTCCCCCCGGCCGGGCCCTCTCTCTCTGAGGAGGAGGAGGAGGACTATGGGACGAATTGTATCGGAGAAGAGGATTGACGGGACGGTGCGACTGACGATTATTTTATTTTTTCCGTTCTCTTTGCTTCTCTCCCGATGTGGGATTTCCAATTAAGACAACGCAGTGACTGCTCGCGCGGTCCTTCGGTTGGGATTTGCTTGGATCGTCGGACTCGTCGTCGCAAATATATAAAGGCGTGTGTGTATATATATAAAAGAGATGAGACTTTCCCACTCGCTTTTCCCTTGGATCACACTGTCGAACCAACACGAGTGTGCATGCTCTAATTTTCCATAAATGAGGTGTATTTTTGAGACTAAAGAGGGGGGGAAAAGGTTTGGGGTGGAACGCTTGGGGTCTCCACGAGAAAGGTTTGCGGTTCAAGATACTTCTTGAATAGGACAATTGGTCTTTTCTGATGGTGGTGGTTTTGCGCATAGAAGAAGCCAATAGAGAAGAAGGGAAGGCTGTAATTGTAGAAGGAGGTGTAGAAAAAGGGAGGGAATGATGGTAAATGCTAAGGCTGGGAATCCTACAGAGTGAAACGGGATCGGATTGCTCTTTCTCGAATGGTTAGATTGGTTTAACGCTCGCTTCTTGGGCATCCATTGGTTCCTAGGATGCCCCCAAAAGCCACAGAGTAAAGAATGCAGGGTTGTTAGTTCAAAAAACTCAATTTCTGTGCCAAAAAACAGTATGTGCCGAGTGTGCCGCTTCCATTCGCTGCCACTCTTTCTTTTGGAATCGTTGGTTATTTTGAGTCTGTTACGTTAAACCAATTGTCTCCTCCGTGTTAGCGTTTAGATCGGGTCTGGGCAACCCCTTACCTTTTCTGAGGCCCTCCTCTCTCACACCATCCTATCCTTCCTTCCTTCCTTCCTTCCTTCCTTCCTTCCTTCCTTCTTTCCTTCCTTCCTTCCCTCCTTCTTCCTTCCATCCTTCCTTCTCTTCCACCCTTTCATACTTCCTTCTTTCTTTCCTTTGTCTTTCCTTCTTTCTTTCTCTCTTTCCTCCCTCCCCTCCCTCTTTCTCTCTTCCTTCCCTTTCACCCTTTCGCCCTTCTTTCCTTCTCTCTTCGCTTCCTCCTTCCCTTCCACCCATTTGTTCTTCCCCACCTTTGTCTTTCATTCCCTCTCTCCTTCCCTTCCATCCTTTCGTCCTTTCCTCCTTCCCTGCGTTTTGTCTTTCCTTCCTCCTTACCTCCCTCCATTCCCTCCTTCTTTCTCCTTCTTTTCTTTCCTTCCTTCTTTCCTCTTCTCCCTCTTTTTCTCCTTCCTTCCTTCCCTTTTTTTTCCTCCTTCTTTTTCCTTTATCTTTTCTTTCCTCAACCTTCCCTCCTTTCTTGCTTCCTTCCTTCTTTCCATCCTTCTCTTCCTTCCTTCCTTCCTTCCTTCCTTCTCTTCCTTCTTCCTTCCCTCCTTCTTCCTCCTCTTTCCTCCCTCCTTCCTCCCTCTTTCTCCTCCCTCCCTCCATTCCCTTTTCCTTCCTTCTCTCTTTCTTCTTCCTCCTTCCTTCCCCTTCTCTTCCTTTCTTCTCTTCCTCCTCTTCCCTTCCCCTTTCTCCTTCCTTCCTTCCTCTTCCTCCTTCCTTCTCCTTCCTTCCTTCCTTCCTTCCTTCCCTTTTGTCTTTCTTCCCCTTTTTCCTTTTCTTTTCTTCCTCCCTTTCCTCCTTTCCTCTTCCTTCCTTCCTCCCTTCTCCTCTTCCTTCTCTTCCTCCTTCCTCCCTCCCCTTTCTCCCTCCCTCCCTCCATTCCCTTCTTCTACCTTCCTTCTCTCTTCTTCCCTCCTTCCTTCCATCCTTCTCTTCCTTTCTTCCTTCCTTCCTCCTTTCCTTCCTCCTTTCCTTCCTTCCACCCTTTCATCCTTCCTTCCCTTTTGTCTTTCCCTCTCTCTCTTTCTTTACTTCCTCCCTCCCTTCCTTCCATCCATCAATCAGGCAGCCATTCCTCCTAGCACAGAGTGCTAGCATGCGGCGTCCAAGTTAGAAAGTGTGCCTAGGCCTGGTTGCTCCTAACCATTGGCTTGTATTATGGGTCAGTTCAAGGTTCATTTGCAGTCAGGGTGGAACAAAAACATTTCAATTCATTTCAATTTGGTTTTTGTGGGGAATTATGGGTTTGCATAATTTGGGGTGCACGGTGGAGCAAAACACAGTTCACGTTGCAATACTCGAATGCAGTTCATGTTGCAAGTCTCTGTGTCAACGTTCCCAAATAATTACAGAAGCCATTTGCATAATTTGGGCTGTGATTGGGGTACACGGCGGAGCAAAACGCAGTTTGTGTTGCAATTCTCGAATGCAGTTCATGTTGCAATTCTTTGTGTCGACGTTCCCAAATAATTACGGGAGCCATTTGCATTATTTGGGCTTTGTTTGGGGTACACGGTGGAGCAAAACATGTTGCAATTCTCGAATGCAATTCATGTTGCAATTCTTTGAATTGACGTTCCCAAATAATTACGGAGCGAAATGCAGTTCGTGTTGCAATTCTCGAATGCAGTTCGCGTTGCAATTCTTTGAGTTGACGTTCCCAAATAATTACGGAGCGAAATGCAGTTCGTGTTGCAATTCTCGAATGCAGTTCGCGTTGCAATTCTTTGAGTTGACGTTCCCAAATAATTATGGAGCAAAATGCAGTTCATGTTGCAATTCTCGAATGCAGTTTGTGTTGCAATTCTCAAATGCAGTTCATGTTGCAATTCTTTGAGTTGACGTTCCCAAATAATTATGGAGCGAAATGCAGTTCGTGTTGCAATTCTCGAATGCAGTTCGTGTTGCAATTCTCGAATGCAGTTCATGTTGCAATTCTTTGAGTTGACGTTCCCAAATAATTACGGAGCGAAATGCAGTTCGTGTTGCAATTCTCGAATGCAGTTCATGTTGCAATTCTTTGAGTTGACGTTCCCAAATAATTACGGAGCGAAATGCAGTTCGTGTTGCAATTCTCGAATGCAGTTCATGTTGCAATTCTTTGAGTTGACGTTCCCAAATAATTACGGAGCGAAATGCAGTTCGTGTTGCAATTCTCGAATGCAGTTCGCGTTGCAGTTCTCTGTGTTGATGTTCCCAAATAATTACGAGAGCCATTTGCATCATTTGGGGGACTGCGCTTGAGGTGCACGGCGGAGTAAAACACAGTTCATATTGCAATTCTCAAATGCAGTTCATGTTGCAATTCTTTGTGTCGATATTCCCAAATAATTATGGGAGCCGTTGACAGAAAGGCAGACTCGATAAGGAATAAATACAAGGTGCGGAGCTAACGGGATGTGGCTTTGGATGGCGAATCGAGTGCCGTTTGTGCATTGAGAGGAGGAGAAAGGGCATTCCGCTTTCTCATTTTTGAACTTTTTGAAAAATATTTCCCGAGCGTCTTCTAAGGTGCATGGGATTTTTCTCCCCCATCTTTCCTGGCATACATTTTAGGCCTTTTCCTAAAACTTAGAGGTCATTTTCCTGGGTCTAAAAATGGTTGGAAGGGGCCACATTCCTTTATAGTAGGCATGCGCAAACTTGGGCCCTCCAGGTGTTTTGGACTGCAACTCCCATCATTCCTAACAGCCTCAGGCCCGTTCCTTAAGCGGCTGTGGGGCAAAAGGAAAGGGCCTGAGGCTGTTAGGAATGATGGGAGTTGCAGTCCAAAACCCCTGGAGGGCCCAAGTTGGCCCACACCTACCTTATAGGTTGCTTGGGGTCAAATAATACTTTTTTTCATATGGGACGTTGCAGCCTTTCAAAGCCATATTGCAATTTATTTGGATGGGAGACCGTTCCATTCGAAGCAAGGAAAAAAAATTACCTTCCCAGTTTGGACCATTTTGTCAACATCACCCAGCCTTATTCCTGCACTGGAAACCATTTGGACAGACTTTGAGACATTTACTTTGCCGCTTTTCGTATTTCTCTTTGATCTGATGTGATTTGGGATTACTATTATTGTTTCGATGATTCCAGGACGAGGAGGAGGAAGAAGAATTAAGGTGTTTCTTAACATAACAAAAAATAATAATATTTATTTTGAAAATTGTACCTATGTCTTTTTTTGGAGAGGAGAAGCCATGCGTGTATGTGTGTGTTGTATGCAGTGATTTTTTGTGTATCGAAAAAAAAGGAGAGTGCATTTTTGGGAAGGGATAATATAAGTATATAATATAAGTATGTTAGCTTGGATACCCGGCGTTGCCTGGGTTGTTGGAAAAATTCATTTTTTTAATTGTCCAAAATACATAAGGTTGTGGGTGAACTACAACTCTCATCATGCCAGGGTGGCCCTGAGATACTCCCATCAGTACTTGTTATGTTGAAGGCTTTCATGGCCGGAATCACTGGGTTGTGAGGATGCTTGCCATAGATGCAGGCGAAACGTCAGGAGAGAATGCCTCTAGACCATGGCCATATAGCCTGAAAAAACCTACAACAACCCCGTACTTGTTATGTTGGGCAAATTAGGTCTAGATTAGCATTTCTCAACCTGCGGGAGGGGGTCGCAAGAGGGGTGACAGAGGGGTCGCCAAAGACCATCCCTAAACTCTACCAGTGTTGACATTTGGGCATATTAAGTATTCATGCCAAGTTTGGTCCAGATCCAGCATTGTTTGAGTCCACAGTGCTCTCTGGATGTCGATGAACTACAAATCCCAAACTCTATGTCAATGCCCACCAAACTCTTCCAGTATTTTCTGTTGGTCATGGGGGCTCTGTGTGCCAAGGTTGGCCCAATTTCATTGTTGGTGGAGTTCAAAATGCTCTTTGATTGCAGGTGAACTATAAATCCCGGCAACTACAACTCCCAAATATCAAGGCCTATTTTCTCCAAACTCCACCAATGTTCACATTTGGGCATATGGAGTATTCGTGCCAACTTTGGTCCAGATCCATGATTGTTTTGAGTCCACAGTGCTCTCTGGATGTCGAACTACAACTCCCAAACTCAAGGTCAATGCCCATCAAACCCTTCCAGTATTTTCTGTTGGTCAT